GAAAGAAAGAAAGAAAGAAAGAAAGAAAGAAAGAAAGAAAAGAAAGAAAGAAAGAAAGAAAGAGAAAGAAAAGGACTGAGGGTTTGAAAAGGGCTGTAGAGTACAGAGTAGGGAATGATGCAAAATGCATTCAACAGCAGAGGCCTGTGACCTACCCAGAGATCCACAAACCCCTGCTCCTGAAACCTTTGGTTTCAATGACTCAAAAGAACAATGAATGACAGGAGGGGAAGACTGTCCATGAGGACTACGACTAGGACTAAAGGAAGAAGGTTGTATCTTTTTCTTTCCTTGGGGCTTGATGCTGAGTAACAGTATTGGCAGGATCTCTGAAAGTTTCCTCTCCTTGGTATACTCCTCTATAAAGACAGCAGGAGTTCAGCTAAGCAGCACAATTGTTGTGCTTTGATGAGGGTTACAAAGTAAGGACACTACTGAGAAGACAGAGCAAAACAAGAGTAGGAGGAGGCACAATCAAATAGCAGATGTCATCATGTGATGTTCAGGCTTGGGGCAGCTATCCTTCTGACAGGCAGCAAAGCTTTGAGCTTTGGCCAAACAACTGTGTCGTGGACAAAGATCTGGATCTTGGGGAACGCAACTGAGACAGAAGTGCAGGATCATTAGTTGCTTCAACTGGGCCATGACAATGACAACCCTAGTTATTTTGCCTCCCTTCTGCCATTTCCTCTATGAAATCAAATGGTCATTGATAAGGTTGAGGGATATTTGTCAAGAACTTCTCTGTTTATAAAGATCAAAATGAAAAACTAAGCTTGGATTATGCCTTTTATTCAGGACGACTGGGTATTCAGAGGGTGACCTGCATTCTCTTGTTATTATCAGCACTTGCTGGGCTATAAAGGGAATCCTGACCTTACATGACATTGTCTTTGGCATCAAACCTATATACACCTCAAAGAATTTTGAGCATATGGTTTTCAGCATATCTTTAAAATCAGGTTAGTCTTATGTGGTCAGTGGAGATGAACAAGAGGAGCTCTTAACCACTTCACAATTTCACAGCAAAACAGAACCCTCCTCGTTTCCAATGTCCTAAATGTAGTCACTTCCCAAGTATGCAGAAATGTTTACTGTGGTTGACAACAAGCAGTTCCAAATGTGGAATAATGTTACCAAGACAACACAGATGGTAATGGATGTTCATGCTATGGTTAACTGGTACATGAAGGAAGTAAACGTGACAGTATTACTTACTGGGTTAAAGATATGGACACAGAGAAACCAGAAAATCTCCCTGAATTTGTAAGAAACACTTCAAATTTTTAACTGCTAGACAGACTGGCATCTTTTGAGAAGGGTGAAGCATAATGTTACTCATATGATCATTAAGCCAAAGTCTTGGGAACTATGAGGACCATGCATTTCTTAATGTTATCTGCAGTGTTGAGAATGCAACCAGTACTGAATCCTTATCTCATGAAAATATACCACATTTCACAGCTTTTGTGGCTCATGAGCTTGGCCAAAACTTGGGAATGAAGCATGACCATGTGGCCTGCAAGTGTCATAGCCAGAACCTCTGCCCTATGCATGAATTTCTTACTGTAGATATGGGCTTCAGCAACTGCAGCTTTGACAACTTCCACCAGCTGTTGTACAAGCACTGAGGGAACTGTCTGTTTAATAAACCTGAGCTCCAAAGCTCCTTTGGAAAGCCATTTTGTAAAAAAAAAAAAAAAAAAAAAAAAAAAAAAAAAAAAAAAAAAAAAAACAATAGATAAAGGAAAAGAATGTGATTGTGGCAGTGACTGTTAAAAGGATCATTGTTGTCTGCCCTCATGCCAGCTGAAGAAAGGTTCAGACTGCACACTTGGATCCTTCTCCAAAACCTGCATATTTCTAAAGGTAGAAAGTGCTGCCTCAGTGTAGATGAGTGTGACCTCCCAGAACACAGTAATGGCACCTCAATGCCAGACAGATATCTACCAGCAAGACAGCACACCTTAAAAAGAACAAGGTTACTGTTAGCAGGACTGGTGTTAAAGCACAGAGAATCAGTGTGTTAAAATCTTTGGAAAGGGCACAAAGGTTGCCTAGAAAGTTGATATCATTACCCGAATACCAAGAGTGGCAGGTTTAGAAACTGTGACAGTGAATCTAAAGGGATGGTTAAGATCTTCATTAACTGCAAGGCCAAAGATGCAAAATGTGAAAAGCTGTTGACTGAACTGAAAAACATCAAACACCCAGTTCCCCATGTGGGACATGTGGTATTGGAATGCACAGTTTTTTGAAGCCACAGACAGAATTGATGACAGGGAGATGAAGGATGGTACCCAAAGTGGTCCACAGAAAATCTATATTAATCAAACCTGCTTAGATAAAACCACTATACTCCATTATGACTACAGCCTGGACAAGTGTCATGGAGGGATATTTGCAACAATTTTAAGAACTGCCACTATATCTGTCTATACCCTTCCTACATGTGAATCTGAAGGTTATGGGGACAGTTTGAATAGTGGCCCAGTTCTACGTGTCCCCTCTGATTCTCAGTATGATAAAAAGCTGATAATACTAATCTGGATCTTGCCTAGCCTTTTACAATTCCTCATTCCTACTATCTATTTATTTGCTTACATCTATAGAAGATGTAAGACCAGTGTCAATTTAAAAATTCATCAGAGAGGGGCGCCTGGGTGGCGCAGTCGGTTAAGCGTCTGACTTCAGCCAGGTCACGATCTCGCGGTCCGTGAGTTCGAGCCCCGCGTCGGGCTCTGGGCTGATGGCTCAGAGCCTGGAGCCTGCTTCCCATTCTGTGTCTCCCTCTCTCTCTGCCCCTTCCCCGTTCATGCTCTGTCTCTCTCTGTCCCCAAAATAAATAAACGTTGAAAAAAAAATTAAAAAAAAAATTCATCAGAGAAGCAAGATGAACTTGACAAACATTTGATAATTACCCTCTTTCTGGTAATAAAGCCAAATATGAAGTGACACTAAAAGGACTTTTTAACAATTGGACTCTGTAGTTCTGGTGTCCCTCAAGGTCTATGGAAATAGGAATTCTTTCTTTTTTCCATCTGTCTCTTCAAATGTCAAATACTTATTCATTTTTAAATTAAAAGAGGTTAAAGCAGCTCCCTTGGTGAAGCAATCTTTCCTGTTCTGTGCTATCCAGAAATCAGGTCTCCAGAGCTCTGGGGCAATGAGAGGCCTCAAGATGTGATTCTTTTTTTTTTTTTTTTTTTTTTTTTTTAATGTTTAAGCTGTTACTGTGAGCTCCCTAACATTTCTGTAGAGAGTTCCTTTGGAACGATCTCTGGAACTTACATTTCAGAGCATCCTGTCTAATCCCCCACTGTAATCTACTCTGTAAATGTTCTCTAATCTTAAGGATTTTTCCTTAGACAAACCAAAGGAGTATATCAGGTGAGAAGCATCTGATTATTAACTCTAGGTGTTGTAGTTGATTCTCATTCCAGCCACTTTGTCCACTTGGCTTTCCTCTTTCTTTGGGCATCATAGTATATGATGCCCTGGCCTCAGACTTGTTCATGACTCAACTGGAGAGACCAAACATCACTTGTATAGTTAAAGAAACGGATTAGACATTCCTACTATGAATGTGACTCTGCAGGCTGGAAATCTTTTCTTTCCCAAAAGGTTCAAATTCTCCTTACTAGCCATTCATTCACTTGTTCGTTCATTTTTTTTTCTATAAACATACATTTAGCACTTAGCAGTAGGTCGAACCATGTAAAATTGATATTAGGCCTTCTTCACCTATAAAAATGTCAAGTTCACATGGTTCAACCTAATTCTATGTTCAGGCACTATGAAACCTATCTTTGGACTTCTGCTTGTAAATGGAGTTGAGAGTTTTTGATATCTAAAGTTTCTTTTAATCCTCATTTCTCTTAAATCTTATTATCCTCTGTAACTTCGTAAGATTGGCCTTAATTTTCTAGAGCAGATGGTCCCTACTGTTGAGACTTGAAACAGCACTGAGCAAATAACAGAGTAGGATGTGCCTGAGGATCCCACGGTGACTTTTTTGGTAGTTATTGTCTTTGTTTCTTCTGAGTCTCAGAAACCTTCAAAGAACAGAAACCCAGGATTTTCTTCGTCTGGTCTTAGAGTAACAATACTGGCAAAATCTGAGCAAGTTGTTGTATGTCACCCTACTTCCCCCACAATCACAGAGTAGAGAGCCTGGAAAGGGCACATATACATAATAACCTAGAATTTATCTACAAGAGATTTAAACAAATCTAATATTCACTGAGGTAATAGGAGTCTATTTCATAGGACAGTGGCTTCACCTCTCTGAATAAGACTTTGAGAATCACAAGTGAATCTGAGAATACTGGAGAGATCCTGCCCAATTCAATGAGAAAAGCCACTAACCACGCACTACATCCTCTTTCCCTTCCATTGTTCAAGGCATGGTTGGAAAAGACTGGAGATGTTCCCCAACACTCTTCCCAATCCATTAGTGTGGAGTAACTCCGGTTCCTGGATGTTCCAGTATTACAGTTTCAAAGAATGGTGGAGGGCTGGTAGCAAAAGCAAGGGTAGACTCCACTGTATCTAGGCCCCTGCTATAGAATCTCTTCTGTGAGCATAATAATGGTGTTTGGGTGTCTGCATCACGCCGAGCCTCTTGCTTTAGTTGGTAGAACTTGTACTGTGTCCAGCCATATATTCCACAGTTGAGCAGACCCTGGGATGATGCTGTTAGAGCCTGGAGGAGATGAAGGGGTGATGGAGCCCATCCTTCAGGTTTTCAGAGATCCAGGGAGTAGTCCCCATTCCCCTTATTTATAAAGCATTGCTACATTTCCTCTATCTCAAACATCAAGATCTGGTGTCAGTTTTTTATATTTTTCTAGCTCTTCCTAATAAACTCACTCTTCACACTGTATCTCGTCATGAATGACAGAGTTGGTCAGATTTCTTCGCATAAACATAAGGAAAACGAACTGGTTTCAATGCCCTTCCTTGTTACTTCCATTTCCCAGGTTAGGCTTGAGAAAACTGCCCTATCAGTATAGTCAGATAGCCCAAAAAGCCTTCTTAAATCTGATAAAAGAGGGAAAGAGAGAATCATTCTATTTCTGCATTCGTCTTTCCCCATTTACCTAGAATAGCTAATTTACCCCATTCAGTTCACTCTGGATGGGACAGAATCATGTCACTATCAGTGTTTCACAAAAACATTATCTAGTAGATCTTGTTTTTTTGTTATGTATCCCTTAAAAACTATCAATAAAATGAAGCTGACCAGAGATACATATGCTCTGAAATGCATGGCAGCACTTTCACCAAAGTATCTACCTCAGCTGTGAGGAAAATTTCACATTCTTCATAAATATAAAGAATACATTTTCTCTTTTGCAATGTTGAAATAAATGCGCTAAGGCAAAAAAAAAATTGTGCTTACTGAGTAATGGCAGTGTAAGAGAACAGAGTAAGAGGGTATAAAAACAGATGTGGAAGGTGTTACCTGGAGAACACAGAGGGCCATGTGAAGCTTCGTGTTCTGTGGCTTAGTCAACTTCATGATTATCAGAACGATGGCTGTGAAAACACAAAGTATGAATCTTGTTGACAACCCTGCCCTCTAAGCATAAAATTGTCCAGTATACATGCCTAAACACTGTGAGAAATACAGCCATAGGCATAATGAAGACTAGGACTGAGATTAACCAGTTCCATAAACCACTGGGCCTCCAATCTCCAACTTCTATTCCTCATTGACTAACCTCTGCAGGTTATTAGTGTAGCAATGATGGTAAGGCACACTACAGGAAGATAAGTTACACTTCTTAGCATTTCAGAATTTACCAAGCTTTTTTATAAACATTATCCAATCTGATCCTCACTATACTTTGTGTAGTAGGAAGGGCAGGTGTTAAGATCTCTGAGCTCTGTCAGGACATTTTCTCTCTTACTGGATTGCATCTCATGTCTAATTACCATAATTTCTAAAACATAAGAAGAAAAACAAGAAAGTTGGGGAAACTTGATATATGAGTGGGACAAACAGAAGTTCTACAGTTGGACAGGAATTTTACAAGTTGCAGTCACCCTTACTGGTAAGACCACTTTGCTTGATCAGAACCCAATAGCTGCCCTCATTATTACCCAGCTTTTTCCATTAAGATACCCACCTGGGCCCCAGCAGCAAAAGAAGGCCACTGGATAGAAGCGCACTCGCTGTTCCATGATGTGAATCACTGCCCACTGTTCGGTCCCCAGAAAGCCAGTCGATTTCACAAACTTCTTATATAGGGTCTGGGTTTGGATGAGTAAGACCTAAACATGGGTACAGCAGTTGAGTAGCTTTGCCTGAGGCTTGGTAAAACTTCCCAGGTGTGGCCTCCTATCATTGTAGAGGGATCACTTCTCTTGGGATCTGACAGCAAGAAAACTCATTCTCCTGTCTTTACCATTAGAGACCTGTCTTAGAGACCTGGCTTCTTCTGAGAGAAAATTATCTTCAGAGTGAACTTCTGCTTGGCCAGGAAATGGACAAATAAACCTGTGTTTATCATATTCCATATATAAACATTACATCAACACCCAGGCTTTTTTTTTTTTTCCTGACTGAGGCTAATCACCATATATGCATGGGAAGTTAAAGTTAAGATCTACCCAGACCCTCTTAAAACACTTTACTAGAGACTATGTTAGAAAGCATTCTGTACTTAATACCCTTAAAATAAATACTTGAGCACTGTGGCTGGGCTTAAATTCTCAACTCTAAGAAAAAAAAAATTTAGTAAGTCTTATTATCCTTAGATGGAAAATACCATTTCCCCCTTCTTTTTGGGGGTTATCTGAATAAGGTTAAAGCTCATGGAATACAAATCAGTTTAGATTTCCAAAGTGCTTTTTGTGGGGAGTAAATTAAGTAATAATCTTGGTAACAAATCTGACCAAATCTAAAATTTTCCCAAATAATCCAGACCCTCTCTCTAAGTGAACAAGTCAATTATTTAATTAAGTTTAGCCATGTAGTTTCCTTTCCTCACAGACACTGGAATCAAAAGGCGGCTTTTACTTATTTAGGAATATTTTCATCTACTAGAATCAGTTCTGATTCTGAATGCCCACTGAAGCTTAGGCTATTCTAAAGAAGCAAGATTCTCCAGGATGCCAGGCTCTGGGATACCTGACTCTCTTGTCAATTAGTTCTAAATGTAGATTATCAAAACCATCTTAATATAAAGTAGCCATTTCGCCCTCTTTACATAGTTGCTGATTTGAACTAAGCTATCCCCCTAACTTATTTTTAAATTGTCAAAGGAGGGGCGCCTGGGTGGCGCAGTCGGTTAAGCGTCCGACTTCAGCCAGGTCACGATCTCACGGTCCGTGAGTTCGAGCCCCGCGTCGGGCTCTGGGCTGATGGCTCAGAGCCTGGAACCTGTTTCCGATTCTGTGTCTCCCTCTCTCTCTGTCCCTCCCCCGCTCATGCTCTGTCTCTCTCTGTCCCAAAAATAAATAAACGTTGAAAAAAGATTTTAAAAATAAATAAATAAATAAAAAATAAATTGTCAAAGGAAATTCTCTGCAATTATACTTGGTTCACATGTTCCAGCTGTGCTAGCAAAATAAAACATCTCTGTAGGATAAATTTGGTCTGCAGGCAGATAGTTTGTAATCCTTGAATTAGCATATGAAGAAAGGAAAAAATGATACTGAAAAGTAGATATGGCAAATAAAAAGGCATATTCACTTGAGTACTGATTTTTTACTGGGCAGTTACGTGTAAATAACATATTGTCCCATAGCTAATTATTTTAATTGTACATCATTCTGGTGATGTCAAATGAGTATTTAGTAACTGCTTAAGCCACTTAGCACTTTAACCCCAGTCAGACACAGCATATGTGCATTTACACCCAATAAATAATTGAGAAAAGAAAACTCCTTTGTTATTTGGAAAATTATCAAATTAAATCAAAGCATATTTGCTATTTCTGGAGTGTTATCCTGTATAAAGGATATACTTGACACATACTAATCTTCTGGTTTGGTTTTCCATGAGGATCCACAGGAACATATATTAGTTCTAGGGTGAGCATAATTATCACATAATTAATACAGGCTCTTTCCCCATTAATCATTTAATCTTGAGAAATCCAAAAACTGAGGTAGTAATTAAAGTATCAATATCTCTTAGCTACTTTCTTAGATCTAGAACTTTAGGAAATGCCTCTCCATCCCATTTTTCCCAGTCCCGAGGAATACTGCTGCATCCCTCCCAATCTTCCCTTTCTGTCCATAAAGGCAGGTAGCACAGCACCGTACCGCAATAGCAAGGAGGCTGAGGAGAAAGCTGGTCAGGAAAATGGTGATCCCATAAAAATAAAGTGTGGTACAGACTGATGTGTTGACAGAAGGCAGTTCAGCCATGGCTGATGGTGGTGAATACATCAGAATACACCTAGGAAGAGAATCAATGGACAGGAACACTGCTAAAGACACAGAGAGATACCCACATTTGGTGCAACAAAATTTACTAAGTATGCAATTTTACTTATCATTTTGCTAACCCTTTCCCATAACCCCTTATTCTTTCTGATAGACACATTATCTTCTAGTATCTTTGTGTTATATTTCTACTTATGTATTTTTTGCCTTGACTATACCTTGCTCTATAGACTACACCAAGGTACCATAGAACCTTGTTCCAAATACAAACAACTTGGCCAGAGTATATGTAGAAAGTCTTTTCCATCTCTATATATGGAAAAGAAAAGGTGTAGTCTACCATGAAAATGATAGATCTGGTCCTTGCTTACCTGTGGCTCTGACTGAAGTTGAGGAAACATTCACTGACATTGCCCAAACAGAATACAGGTATCATCAACAGCAGAGGTATCAGGCTGGGAGGAAAAAAAAAAACTTATCACCCTAATATTCAGACATTTTTATTCCCTTTCCCCTTTGCAAAATACTCTGTTCTTCTCCTAACTCTATCACTCCACCACTCTCCACAAATATGTGTGTGTATATATATATGTGTATATATATATGTATATATATACATATATATACATATACATATATATATATACATATATATATAAATTCTTCAAGAAAAATACCTCAAAAGCCTTACAAATACTCCTTAACCAATTGCTAAGTGGAGTGGAGAATGCATTTCTTACCTAAATTAATGAAATCTAACATTGTCAGAGAGTCTCTGGGAATGGGTCAAAGTGAAAGGAAAAATCTAACAAGGAGTTCTGTGCTCACTTTCTATGACAACCAGGAATAACTTCATTCTCATCAGCCTCTTCCTGGGAGCTTTTTGAAAGCATACATTTAAATAACCAATTACCTATCCAGCTAATTATAGCCAGCTCTCTGTAAGAGGAAAAGACACAAAAATAAAAGTTAAAAATTCTAACATCAACTCTGATATGACCACTGTTTTAGGTAAAATCCAGACCTTTCCTGGGGCTAATAGTTGCAAGACTCTCACCCAATGTTATAAAGGTGGGTAAGATTTTGACAGCCTTCTATTACAACTCTTTATGATATAAAAAGGAATTAGAAGTCTAAAGACTTAAAGGCAAATATTTGTTGACAGTCACATAGAGTTGATGGCAAAACTGAGGCTAAAATTCAAAACTGTAACTTCAAACTGCTTGCCTATTCTATCTGGGAATATGGTACCAGTGATAATATATTTGTTGCTTCCAAGTCAGTAAAGTTCTATGAGGACCTAGGAGTTATACAGTCAATGGAAATAAAGGGCACTGTCCTCCTATTTGCTCCAACCTGGACCACAGAATAATGAGAGTCTATGCCTAGCCAGAAAGTAAAGCAAAAACCTTACCTTGACAAAATGATGGCTATTTGACCAACATGACAAGTATAATCTACAACCTGTGAAAAGAATAAATGTGAGTAAAGTCTTAGAATATTGCCAATCATGGGGCGCCTGGGTGGCTCAGTTGGTTGAGTGTCTGACTTCAGCTCAGGTCATGTTCTCACAGCTCGTGAGTTCAAGCCCCGCATCGGGCTCTGTGCTGACAGCTCAGAGCCTGGAGCCTGCTTCTGCTTCTGTCTCTCTCTCTCTCTCTGCCCCTAACCCACTTGCATTCTGTCTCTCTCTCAAAAATAAATAAACATTAAAAAAAAAAGAATATTGTTGATCATAATATACTAAATATCAGGTCATCACTTACCACTTGATAGAGCAAAAATTCCCAAGAGCTACCTTGGTTGTGTCAAGCAATATTTGCTACAAAATTCAATTAAATAGATAGTTCCTTAGCATTGGCAATAAGAGAATTGTGTTTGTATTACTATATTCTAAAAAGTATAACAACAATAGCCACAAAGAGAGCCTGAGGGAAGTAGCTTGATATAAGACTTAGATACAACAAATTCTCTTTAGAAGAAAGGTAAATAAGAAATCACACAGTACTCCTCCATCTTCTAATAATAGTTCAATCCTCTTCTCTTTGGATCCAGGGAGGTGTGGACTTTTCAGACCTTATGGGTGGAGCAGAAATCCGTGTATAAGATCACCAGCAGAAAACTTAATAAGCCATGATTAGCATAATAGAGGGGGGTCAAATAAGCCTTTAGATATAACACCTGTCACACTCTAAAAGAAAGAGCATTTCAAAAACCCCCAGTTGTGTTAGACACTGAAAAATAACTTAACAGAAGAATGGTATCTACCCACTAGAAGTTTATGGTAGAAGACTTTGAACAGATCACCTTAAAGTGAGACCAGAATAGAAAACAAGCTTTTTTCTGTTCTGAGGTAAGAGATCATATTATCTTCTAGAATGGCATTGTTAGGGATCAATAAACATTAAGTGAGCAATTAATCGGTAATCAGAGATGGGTAATTGATGTACCCTAAAAACTACAGATCAGGAGCAGCAAATGATTTCAAGTAAGACAGCCAATGCTGACTTTAAGTAAAAGGAGAAATAAGTAAAATTAGTCTTTGGTGACCTTTTCCACCCATGTCCCTTCTCTTTTTATTCTATCCTCTATGAATCAGACTAACCTGTGTTTAATTCTTGTTCTTATATTTCTGTTAATGAATCTCTGATAAAAAACTTACTGATATGGGGTACGTGGGTGGCTCAGTCAGTTGAGTATCCAACTCTTGATCTCAGCTTGGGGCTCCATCTCATGAAGGTTAAGTATCTGATTCTTGATTCTGGCTCAGGTCATGATCTCACGGTGTGTAAGATCAAACCCCGCAGGGCTCTGTGCTGACAGCGCTGAACTTGCTTTGGATTCTCTCCCTTCCTCTCTGCCCCTCCCCTGCTCATGTGCACACACAAACACACACACACACACACACACACACACACACACACACACACACACACTCACTCTCTCTCTCTCTCTCTCTCACTCAAAATAAATATACATTTAAAAAAAAACCTTACTGATAACAGTTTAGGGCACAAGTCTTGCTAGGATTTTTAAAAGAGAATTCAAAATGAAAAAAACATTTTCAAGGCTCCTGATATAAAGCTATGACAGAATAAAAGGCAGTGGGATTAAAATTTGGGGCTAGGGTTTGTCTTCTCATGCCATGGCATGAGTTATAAAGTACAGTATGTGCATTTCCATGGACAAAAAACGGTAGAATGCTATATATATATAAGAGCTAATTTTATGTCTCTCCCTCCCTTTCTTTCAAAGATTAATTTGTTCTCCTGACAGGAACCCAAGCCTCAGAAAAATATCTCTCCTTGTTCCCATTCTCGGCTTCTGGTCTCATTATGGTAACTTTTTTAGAGAATTCCTCTTTAGCCAAATAACTTTTCCCAAATTGCAGTCTCTTAGCTTGTGAGTGAATGAACCTCACATACCAAACTTGAAATACTACCCATATAAGGCTGTAGAACTTTTTAGACATTCATGTGCTTGAGGGAGAGAAATGAATTATTTTTTTGCAGTATCTTCCAGCTCTAGGATTCTAGGATTATGTAGACAAACACATAAAAGGACATATATCCATAGCCATTACTAAATTGTAGGGAGCTGAGAAACTATACAAGTTTAAAATACAGAAGATCAATTATAAGCATTGACTTACCAGATGTAAACAAGAGAAAAAAAACACCAGAACAGAGTACTGTGTTACACAATATGGTAAACACTAACCACATGTGGTTAAAATTAAAATTAAATTAAATAATTCAGTTCCTCAATCACACCAGCCACATTTCAAATGTTCAACAGCCACTGGTTAATCGCTACTGAACTGGACAGTGCATGAAATATTTTGATCACTGCAGAAAGTTCTATTGAACAGGGCTTGGATAGACTATAATATCTTGTTCAGGATGCTAACTAAGGTCTCTTCACATTAAGTTTTCAATGATTTCCTCACTGCCCATTCTTCCAGCAAAAAAGAAAAAAGAGAAAAGTTTTCAAAGCATTCTATGCTCTCAATCTTCTCCAACAACATATATCTAGGACAAGGCTAGAAAAATGCAAGAAACATATCTTCTTTAGAAACCAGTCAGATGAGGATTTAGAGTATCACAGCATTTTGGAGCTATAAGTGACATTAAAGATCACAGAGACCAACGCTTCATTTTATGGAAAACTGAGACCCAAGAAAAGGAGATGATGTGCTCAAGATCAGAAAGGAGATAAATGATAGAACTGCATCTAGAAGACAGATTTCCTGATTCACCCTCAAATCTCTTTTGACAATGGAATAGTACCATTTACTCATTCAACAAGTTTTTATTGAGTTTCATCATGTGCATGACAGTATACCAACTTTCATTTAGTCTACAACTGATCTGTAGGAGCTAGAGAAAGGTATGTAGGGAGGTTTTCCAGATTCAATTACTCCATGATGCTCTTAAACAAAAATTCCTCTTCAAAAACAAACAAAAAAAAAAACCCCACAACAGGGGCACCCATCTGTCTCATTGGTGGAGTGTGAGACTCTTAACCTTGGGGTTGTAGGTTCAAGCCCCATGCTGGGTGTAGAGATTACCAAAAAATAAAATCTTAAAAAAAACACACAGCATAATGGATACTGTAAGAAATAAGAAAACTGGAATACTTAGTAAGATTTGTATAGGAAGATTAAAATGTATAATGACAGTCAAAGAAATGAAAATGGCTAGGGCGCCTGGGCGGTTCAGTCAGTTAAGGGTCCAACTCTTGATTTTGGCTCAAGTTATCATCTCACAGTTGTGAGATTGAGTCTTGTGATGGACTCCATGCTGAGCGTGGAGCCTGCTTAAGATTCTCTCTCTCCCTCTCCCTCTTCCCTTCCCCTGCTCTTTCTCAAAAGAAAAAAAATGAAATGAAAATGGCTAACATCATAAAAATGTCTTCTAAGATCACTTAGTGATATACTGATAGAATCAAAAATAAGAAACTGAGTGTACTATACAATGGAATACTATTCAACACTAAAAAAAGAATGAATTACTTATGTATGCTATGATGGGTAAACTTCAAAAGTATGCTAAGTGAAATAAACCAGATACAACAGACTATATATTGGATGATTCTACCTATATGAAATGTCTAGAAAAGGAAAATGTATAGAGTCAGAAAGTACATTAACTGTTGTCTAGTGCAGGGGGCGGGCAGGAAATTAACAATAAATGGTCATGAAGAATTTGGGGTGAAGAAAATATTCCAGAACTTATTTATGATCACTATTATACAAGCTGGTAAGTCTGCTTTAAAAGTCATTGGATTGTACACTTGAAATAATAAATTATCTGATAGGTAAAAATATGCATGCATACATGCACACACACACACAAAATCCAGATGCACTGACTTAGAGTTCTCCTCTCTTTTGTAAGTGTAATACTAGACAATGCCCCAAACTCCCTCTGAACCAAAGGAGGAAAACTATTCCCCGGATCTACCTTGTTTTCTGATGGCCACACATTAACTCCTCTGCCCTTCTGCAAACTGTATCTGTTATCCACACATACTGAAGCAATACAGCCAAGCAGAACACTCTCCCTTTCCAGTACCTGTAGCCCAAATCCCATGTTAGCAAACTAAGCACTTTCCCTGACTCTACCTAAGATCTTATTCTCTACTCTAACAACAATGATGAATTAGCATAGAGCCAATAAGGATTTCCCTTACTTGATGGAACCAGGCAATAATGACAGTACTGTAAATAATGTTTCCTATAATCAAAACCTTTTTATTTTTTTTGGTAGCAAGAGAGAAGAAAAAATCTTGTCAACAGAATGGAAACTCTGTGAGAACATGATTTTTCTTTTATTAACCTCCATGAATTCACCTAGCCAGTGCAGATTGCTTACACTGTTTATCAAGGATATATAGGTTTATTTTAGCATATTGTTAACTGTTAGCTCTGAATAAAACTCACCAGTGCAAATGTGTTCTGTCCACTCTGGTTGTGTCTCATCCTCAGCTCTTTGTACAGATACCAGATGTAATTGACGGTGTAAAAAGATGAGGAAATGTAGAATATCTAGGTGGAAATCAAAACAACTCATCATAACTGTCCCACTCTGATTTCTTTCAGTTTATTACATTATTTTCTACTATAAAAATCCTACCTTAATGGTCTATTAGTAACTTACCGTCTAATATCCATTACATGCAAAACTGGGCCATGTCTGGGAATTCTACCCAGGCCTGCCTAATATATGTCCCAGATTCCTTATTTTATCCTTTTGACTGTTTAGAGGAACCACAGCATTATCCACACCCTCTCACCCAATGTTCCACTTTTATGAAGATATCTTAGAATACTTTTTCTATTTTATTTTTTAATTGGAAAGACCATACTGATTTCCATTTCTAATAGTGATAGCCTAGGCTATTTGAACCAAATTTCCCATTAAAAACTTTAAACATGCTGGATAAAAGAGTTTTTAAATCCTTAAAAGCATCAAAGAACTGGGAAGATATAGCAAGGAATCAACAGGACAAAATCCAAGAGTAAAAATTTCTGCTCCCATCTCTGATGAAGTAACAGAATTTTCCTTGCATCCTAAAAACTAAAAGTTGGGAAAAATATATGAAACACTTGGTTTTCAAACATTAGGTAATAATCAGTACAGAAGTGTAATCCCTGAAAGAAGAAAAACAAACAAGTGCCCCAGCTCACTGGCAAGGTAGGGGGTGGTGGTGAGGGGAACACGTGCAATGAGGGAGAATCCAAATGGATGGGCTGTCTTGGTGAGTGAAGAGACAGTTCAGAGTTGGACAGGCCTAGGCAGCTATAGTATATGAAGCAGATTATCAGAGAAGAGGTACCCGCACAGAGATACAGGGCTCTGGAAATTTGCAGAGGTACCCTCAAGTCCTTGATTAAGTATTTATATACGCATGTGAGATCGAAAACCATGAAGATCAGGAACAAAACCACCAAAGAGCAGGGTGCCTGGGTGGTTCAGCCTGTTAGGTATCTGACTTTTGATCTCAGCTCAGGTCACGATCTCAGGGTTGTAAGTTCAAGCCCTGCGTTGGGCTGTGCGCTGGGTGTGGAGCCTGCTAAAAACAAAAACAAAAACCCACCATAGAGAAATAGGTGGAACAGTCTTCAAAGGAATAAGTTTGTGTTTTTATCAGACAGAGTAGAAAGACTTCCTAAGACATAAGCAGAAAATGAAAGTACTATAGAATAAGGTAGAATCGTAAGATGAGTATTTCCTGGGGCACTTGGGTGGCTCAGTCAGTAAGTGTCTGACTCTTGATTTTGGCTCAAGTCATGATCTCACGATTCGTGAGTTCAAACCCTGCACTGGGCTGTGGAGAGCCTGTTTGGGACTGTCTCTCTCCCTTTTTCTCTGCCCTTCCCCTGCTCTTTCTCTCTGAATAAATAAACTTCAAAAAGAAGAAGAAGAAGAAGAAGAAGAAGAAGAAGAAGAAGAAGAAGAGGAGGAGGAGGAGGAGGATTGCCTTACTAATGGTACCAAATTAGTTGTACATGAGAGACTGCTCTAATGAAAGTTAAAAGGAAGCCTTACAAAAATAATCCTTGAAAGGATCCCACAGATTCAGAGTTAGCTACATCCAAGAACAAAACCAAATTTAAAGGACTATATATATATCTATATATATCTATATATATCTATATATATCTATATATATATATATATCTAATAATCAACAATGTAAAATCTGTAATTTCTAACAACTAATAAAATATTATAAATCATGGTTGGCTTGTGAGCTCCACTGAAGAGCCTGAGGTTGGGCCACTGCTGCCTGCCGTCAGCTCCTGGTCCTGGCTCCTCAGTGGTGGGCAACGTTTAGTCGGCCCATGGAGATCGCACCAGCACTGCTGAGCCCTGGTTCCCTGAGGTGGCAGCATGCCTGGCCCTCTGCCTGGCTCCACATAAGATCAGATTGTGCAAGAATATGGGACAAAGCCAACAAGCTAGGTGTCATGAAGCTTTCTTGCATATCTAGGTACCAGGTTTGACCTGAAGAGATGGCTGCTGTATATTTTGCAGCTGGTTTTATATCACATTTCAGCTCCAACTTTGCATCCTAAGAACACTTAAACATTTCTGCAGGTCTATTTTATAGAACTTGAAAGACCTTAAAACTTTCTGGTTGCCATAAGTGTATCTTTCTTTTCTACTCATCAGTAAACATCTGTGACCTACTGTGATAGATTTTCCAAACAAAACGTTTAGCAGTTTAGCAAAGTAGGCCCTCCGTGGCACTCAACAAATGGAGTTTCCCCAAGCACAATTCTGTAAGAAGTTTGTGTGTGTTTGTGTAAGTGTGTATGTTAAATTATTATTTAATATTGTGAAAAAATTTTTGATATCAGGGATTCTGGCTGTGAACTTGATGCACAATAATTGTGGTCAAAAATATTTGCTGGTCTACAGAAAATCACTAATGTTTTGTGACCATATAAGTTGTAACGGTGGGTTGTTCTATGTGTAGGTATTATTGTTAAATAGAGGGACTTTTTCCAGGCACAGAATATGAATCATAAGTTAGGATGGATATTAGATACGATTATAATCACATAGCAAAGGTCTGTGGTCCTAATTCTACAAATGCATGATCAGGAATTAGGACAAACTGGATGGAGATGGACCATTTAACACATGGACTCTGCCTAGTTGTGTTGAAAAATACTTTGCCTCCATGCCTTAAAATACCCATGTGGAATCTGTGCTCCTCTCATTCACACAAAGAGCTCCCTGAACACTGAACCTCTAAAAACAAAAGGTCTCAGGGCGCTTGGGTGGCTCAGTCGGTTAAGCACCTGACTTCAGCTCAGGTCATGATCTCATGGCTGGTGAGTTCGAGACCCATGTGTGCTGACAGCTCAGAGCCTGGAGCCTGTTTCAGATTCTGTGTCCTCCCCTCTCTCTGCCCCTCCCTCGCTTGCACTCTCTCTCTTTCCCTCTCAAAAACAAATAATAAACATTAAAAATTTTTCAAAATAAAAAAAAGGAAGAAAAAGTCTCCCTTAGGTCTGGGCCAACCACTCCCACCCACCACCCTCCCCTCGTCCTGCACTGCTGCTTGGGAGAAGCCAGTTCACCTCTGTATCTGTCATTAAAAACAGAATTTGGATTTTCTGGTCAAGTTTCCCCAAATTCTTTTTAAGAGGTGCCATGTTCAACTGCTTGAGCTTTGTTTTAGCAAACCCCTGCCCAAACTTGCTTGCAGACTATTCTTCACCTTGTTTCCAAGGTTGAGGAAAAGAAAGCAGTCTCTGTTTTGAGGAGGTGGAAGTATACGTTTTTTATTTGTTCAGGACCACATTTTGTAAAATGTGGTCGCTTTGTCCTTTATTATTGTTTCTGGAAAATAAGTTTTATTAAAATTGTTTGTCTGAATATAGAATAGTTTTATTAATTAGGGCTTATTTTGAAAAATTCTGAGTTCAATTCGGATGTATGCCAGTACCTTTCAAAGTAAGGTAATACTCAGAGACAGCTGTTCTGACCATATGGTTTAGAGAAATTTCTGGACTATTCATATTCTAAGATTCCTTATTAATGAATGTCTAACTTAAATCTAACCAAAAACTGCACCATTATTCTTTGTACATTTTCATTATATAATGTTAATGAGCTTACTTTCAAACAAATAAAATACTTAAGCTATTTGTTTACCTTGCCTTCTTAAAAAAAATATTATAAATGATGCAATGAAGCAGGAAAATATGGCCCACAACCAAGAGAAAAATTAATGAATGGAAATGGACACAGAAATGACAGATTATGAAAATAGGTAGATAAAAAATGTTAATGATATACTTTATATGTCCAAAAAGAAAGTGTGAGCATGACAAGTAGAGAAATAGAAGAGATAAAAAAGACCCAATTTGAAATTCCAGAGATGAAAAATATATGGTTTAATTATGACAAAGTAGAAACTGCAAAAGAAAAGATTAGCAAACTTAAAGATACAGAAATAGAAAATATCTAAAATGAAACACTGAGAGAAAAACACACTTAAAAAAATGAACAAACCCTCAGTTTGCTGTGAGACAATATCAAGAAGGCTAATTAATACACATAGAACTGGAATTCCAGGAGTAGAGAGGCAAGGAGAAACAAAATATGTTTGAATAAATAACCATTTTTTTTCAAATTTAATGAAAATATAAAGCATAAGAAACATGGAAAAAAACATACCAAGATACATTATCATCAAATTAACGAAAATCCGTGATAAACAGAAAACAACAAAAGCATTCAGGGTAAAAAGCCATATTATGTACACAGGACCAAAGATCATAATGACATCACACTTCTTATAAGAAATAATACAATCCAGAAAACACAGGCATATCTTTAAGGTAACTTTAATAAGAAAAAAACATGTCAACCTCAAATTCTATACATGTCAAAAACACCTTTAAAAACCAAGGACATGGGAATGCAAGCCGGTGCAGCCACTCTGGAAAACAGCATGGAGGTCTCAAAAAACTAAAAATAGAACTACCCTACCACCCAGCAATTGCACCACTAGGCATTTATCCACAGGATACAGGTGTGCTGTTTTGAAGGGACACATGCACCCCCATGTTTATAGCAGCACTATCAACAATAGCCAACGTATGGGAAGAGCCCAAATGTCCATCGATGGATGAGTGGATAAAGAAAATGTGGTATGTATATACAGTGGAGTATTACCAATCAAAAAGAATGAAATCTTGCCATCTGCAACTACGCGGATGGAACTGGAGGGTATTATGCTAAATGAAATTAGTCAGAGAAAGACAAAAATCACATGACTTCACTCATATGAGGACTTTAAGAGACAAAACAGATGAACATAAGGGAGGGGAAACAAAAATCATATAAAAACAGGGAGGGGGACAAAACAGAAGAGACTCATGAATATGGAGAACAAACGGAGGGTTACTGGAGTAGTTGTGGGAGGGGGGATGGGCTAAATGGGTAAGAGGCACTAAGGAATCTACTCCTGAAATCATTGTAGCACTATATGCTAACTAATTTGGATGTAAATTTAAAAAAACAA